GAATGTAAAACTGCCGCTGAGGCACCAGATGATCCGTTTGTGCATTTATTTCCATTTACCAATATGAACCTATATGTTTCCTACATGTAGCTGCCCTGAGCCTCTCCTCAGGCCTCCTTCTGCTGTTTCCTGTGCTAACAAAACATATTCCTACTGGTGCTCTCCTCCCACCTCCACCTGTCTCTAATGTCTGCAACTACAGCAGGTGCTCAAAGAGGCGCAGTGGGCTGTAGCCCCATTACAACCCACTGGGTGCTGGGTCAAAGTCTCCTGTCCCGTCCCCCTGATGGGAGGATGTTATGTATTTTTGAGTAGCTAGTGTTGTCTCTTTAGTCCAACATTAAACGCACCCTCTCATAAAACAACTGGAGAAGTTAAAACCTGTCCAAAAACGCCACTGGCTGCACGAAAGCTCTGGAGGAATGTGAGGAGACTACTAATGTCAAAAGTGTGTGTGTGTGTGTGTGTGTGTGTGTGTGTGTGTGTGTGTGTGTGTGTGTGTGTGTGTGTGTGTGTGTGTGTGTGTGTGTGTATGTGTGTGACATGTTTGCTGCAGGTGAGTCACAGCCCCGTCACGAAGGGGGGGGGGGGGGAAAGGGGGTCCTTGTCGCTAAGCAACAAGCCGGGAAAAAGCCAAAGGGGCTAAGAAAGAGAGATGAGTAGTCAAAGCGCTGTGTGTGTGTGTGTGTGTGTGTGTGTGTGTGTGTGTGTGTGTGTGTGTGTGTGTGTGTGTGTGTGTGTGTGTGTGTGTGTGTGTGTGTGTGTACAGATAAGAGCTGCTTCTGTCGTCATCATTGTCGCAATTCACCACGTCTGCTGCTGCCTCTCCTCTTTAACTCCCTCCTTAATATAAAATATCTCCCATCTCCCTCTCTCTCGTCTCAGATACGTCACACTGAGTTACACACACTCTCCTTGAAGAAATTGCAAATGTGAGAATCCAAAACACGAGATCTGATTAGAGCGGCAGCAGAGACTCAGGAATGCTTTCATGGTAAGGTCAGTGAGACAATTCACTCCAGAGATTTAGCTGCAGCTATTCAGTACCAGAGGCCCAACAAACACTGACCCCTGATATCAAAGGTTATTCTGATCTTTTCTGACATTTCTGTGTGGGTCCCTGAAGGCAGCATCTCCCTGGTCCAATGGGATGTTTCCATGTGAATTTGGATTATTGGAGAAAATAATCTCTGAGTCAAACAAACGTGTATGATACTTTCACGTTTAGTTCAGCAGGATAATCTCCACATATTAACACCACTTTATAATTTCTGAAGCTAATGTTGGGCTATAAAGGAACTACAGCACGGTCACATTACTTCACGTCACCACCGCTAAGCTAAAGGTGGCTAATGTTGGGCTATAAAGGAACTACAGCACGGTCACATGACTTCACGTCACCACCGCTAAGCTAAAGGAGGCTAATGTTGGGCTATAAAGGAACTACAGCACGGTCACATGACTTCACGTCACCACCGCTAAGCTAAAGGAGGCTAATGTTGGGCTATAAAGGAACTACAGCACGGTCACATGACTTCACGTCACCACCGCTAAGCTAAAGGTGGCTAATGTTGGGCTATAAAGGAACTACAGCACGGTCACATGTAATAATGTTAAAATAAGCCCAAAAAAATGTTTAGGTAAATTTCCAACAACAGAGACAGTTGTCCATCTTTATAATCCTGAACATCACCAAGCGCTCGGTCCCAGCTGTGTGCGTCACTCTTTAGTGTCCCCTGGTCTCCCAGCTGTGTGCGTCACTCTTTAGTGTCCCCTGGTCTCCAGCTGTGTGCATCACTCTTTAGTGTCCCCTGGTCTCCCAGCTGTGTGCGTCACTCTTTAGTGTCCCCTGGTCTCCCAGCTGTGTGCGCCACTCTTTAGTGTCCCCTGGTCTCCGAGCTTTGTGCGTCACTCTTTAGTGTCCCCTGGTCTCCAGCTGTGTGCGTCACTCTTTAGTGTCCCCTGGTCTCCCAGCTGTGTGCGTCACTCTTTAGTGTCCCCTGGTCTCCAGCTGTGTGCGTCACTCTTTAGTGTCCCCTGGTCTCCGAGCTTTGTGCGTCACTCTTTAGTGTCCCCTGGTCTCCCAGCTGTGTGCGTCACTCTTTAGTGTCCCCTGGTCTCCCAGCTGTGTGCGCCACTCTTTAGTGTCCCCTGGTCTCCAGCTGTGTGCATCACTCTTTAGTGTCCCCTGGTCTCCCAGCTGTGTGCGTCACTCTTTAGTGTCCCCTTGTCTCCCAGCTGTGTGTGTCACTCTTTAGTGCCCCCAGGTCTCCCAGCTGTGTGCGTCACTCTTTAGTGTCCCCTGGTCTCCCAGCTGTGTGCGTCACTCTTTAGTGTCCCCTGGTCTCCCAGCTGTGTGCGTCACTCTTTAGTGCCCCCAGGTCTCCCAGCTGTGTGCGTCACTCTTTAGTGTCCCCTGGTCTCCGTTGTGTTTTGAGCTTCTTCAGAGTTTGGTTTCTGCAGCTTTTAGTAAACGCTGCATGTCTCCTCAAGTTGCTGAATGTTCTCTAGACGCTTCATGTCTCCTCAAGTTGCTGAATGTTCTCTAGATGCTGCATGTGTTGTCAAGTTGCTGAATGTTCTCTAGATGCTGCATGTGTTGTCAAGTTGCTGAATGTTCTCTAGATGCTGCATGTGTTGTTTCTTCATTTGTTTTGGGAAACCCTTTACTCTAAACTCTGTCACATTGTGCTGATCCTCAGTATGATGTTATATTTACTGAGAAGCAACAGCTGTGCAGATGTGTTTGTGTTCTCAGCTGATTCATGCAGGGGGGGGGACACACTGCTCATTCAAGGGACTGCAAATCAGATCAAAATATGACGGGTAATGTGACACCGAGGGGAACAAGATGCAGACAGAATACTAACTACTTCAAAGCCAGACAGAAAGCCGGTGTCAGATTCTGGGTTCAGCTTCTGAGTCACCAGCCTCCCAAAAACTAGAGTCACTGAGCTGTGAGCCTCGACAAACGTCTCGCTAAAACCCCGTCACGACACCAGGGGCTGGCACTGACTCACACACACCCACACACACTCACTTAACTACAACACAGCACACACACACACTCACTTCACTACACACACACTCTCAAAGAAGCATGCTTGTTCATCGCTCTCACCTGTATGGTTGGAGAACTGCACAGAGTTGATGGAGTCCACCTCAAACCCTAAAACCTGAAGACAGAGGGACAGAGAAGGGGTCAGGACTCTTTAAAGTAGAGACACTACATACTGATATACACCTGAACATCAGCAGGAGAGGACTCTTTAAAGTAGAGACACTACATACTGATATACACCTGAACATCAGCAGGAGAGGACTCTTTAAAGTAGAGACACTACATACTGATATACACCTGAACATCAGCAGGAGAGGACTCTTTAAAGTAGAGACACTACATACTGATATACACCTGAACATCAGCAGGAGAGGACTCTTTAAAGTAGAGACACTACATACTGATATACACCTGAACATCAGCAGGAGAGGACTCTTTAAAGCCTCAGAGATCTAACTGTGCACACAAGAAAAAATGCTAAAGTTTTCATCGTATACAAATCTAAATCTGCCATCAGTTAAAAGTTATGCATAAAATCTAAGGAAACAGAGATGAGGTTTCTCTTCTGAAAGCACCAACAGCCATCCCTAACATATTATACATTTGCACGTCGGATTGAAAACGTTTTCAAATATTGTATATTGTGACATTTCTTCCATATCTCTTCCGTCCTAATTGCAGCGTGTAAACAGAAATCTGGATGGGCTGATAAGATAAGAACGACTTCCTGTCAGATCTGGAACAGCTATAAACCAACTTTCCTCCCGTGTCTTTGTCTTTCTTTCTTTAATTAGTAGAGACAGAGAGACACGGGACCAGCCTCATGCAGGTAGTTGTTATCTGAGCGTCTTCATTCATTGTGCTGAAGCAGGAAGACAGAAAGAGTCTTTTGTTTGGAGAAACAAGCATGAGCTTAGAGAGAGGAGACGCTGGTTCACCCTCTTTGACCTTCAGCCGCTCCAGTGTGTCTGAGGAAGAGCTTCTGCACAGTGCTGGATGTGATCTGAGAGATGCACTGCTGTCATTCGATTGCAAAATGCATTCGCCTGTAGTAGTCTCACGGATGCAAAGGCTGTATCACCATATGCACAGCTACAGTTTAGTTATACTAATGAAAACCTGAAGTCTAAAGCTGCGTTTGCATCGCTCTGATCGCTCTGATCGCTCGAGTTTCACCGCGGCTGTCAGCTGTGTTTACTGGCGTCATTCAAACGAGACGTGCTGGCGAGGAGGCGGGGCTTATCTCAATGTCTATTCTATTTTATTTGTATTGACTTGCACTATTTTATCTGTGTTATTGTGTTGCTCTGTGGGAGGAGCCTGGGACCTCAGATGTTCATTGATATAACTTCACTGTAGCTCTGAACACATGACAATAAAAGCCTTGAATCTTGTAGATACTGTCGTAGATACCAACTACAACAAAATGAACATATTTGACCGTGATTTAATTGTTAATACAAGTTTCCAAATGATGCTGAAGTAACAACATACTGATACCGGTTTGTGAATAATGAATGCGTGTGCAGACCAGACGGCAGGAGAAACCGTTTGAAATGTGTGTTTTCTGCATGGAGAGCTGATCGATCAGGCTAAGCTAACATGTAGCTGCTCCGTTCAAACTCACAACAACTTCATACAGACAGAAATAAAGCAGTGACGGTGTTCTCCATGTCACAGACAGTCTGTGGTTCGTACATGTATAACTTTCTCCAGTTGCTGCCTCTGTCAGCTGCAGTTGAACAGTAAAAGTGAAAGAGACATGCATGAAAGCCCAGCAGCCATTAGGATAACAGAACACACCAGCAGCGGGATAAAAATAGACTCGGCTCTTCAGGAGGACGACGTACTGAAGCCTCAGGATCACTACTGGTGGAAACATAAAAACTATCACAAACACCATCGCCATCATCATCACCATCACCATCATCATCATCATGCTGGTGAAAGGGAGCGGGAACGTGACGTCATTAACGACAAGGTGGCCATCTTTGGAGGATATGTAACGGAAGCTGCACCTCTTTTCACCCTCTGTCTGAAACCAGAGCCCAGTCTGCTCTGTTGTGATTGGTTAATCAATCAATCAAAGTTTATTTGTATATCCCAATATCACACATTTGTCTCAGGGGTCTTTACAGTTTGTACAGAATATGAATACGACCGCCTCTGTCCTTGGACCCTCACATCGGACAAGGAAATCCCCCAGTTAGGACTCTTTAAAGTAGAGACACTACATACTGATATACACCTGAACTTCAGCAGGAGAGGACTCTTTAAAGTAGAGACACTACATACTGATATACACCTGAACATCAGCAGGAGAGGACTCTTTAAAGTAGAGACACTACATACTGATATACACCTGAACATCAGCAGGAGAGGACTCTTTAAAGTGGAGACACTACATACTGATATACACCTGAACATCAGCAGGAGAGGACTCTTTAAAGTAGAGACACTACATACTGATATACACCTGAACATCAGCAGGAGAGGACTCTTTAAAGTGGACCAATCATGCTATATTATAATAATATAGTGTAGGACCATACCTATATAAGGCATATTTATACTTTTTTTTTTTCAAAATACCAAACAGATCATGCATTTTAGCCATGCCTCATTTCGCTCAATTTGCACTTTTTTAGCTCTGTTTTTGCAAGGGCAGATTCTGTGAGAACAGCACCACCTACAAGCCTGGCATATGTACTACAGCGTCTCCAGCGCTTTGGAACGGCAATGGCCGTGGCTGTCTCCTCCTGATTGGTGGAGTTGGCCCAATAGCCGTAGCGCCACCGTCCTGACGTCAGGACAGTGTTCAAATCTGGATCAGTTTTTATCAGATCCGTTGCAGCCCCTTTTTTAGAGATTTGGGTATGGAGGAAAATAGAGAGGGTTGTGTTTTCTGACACTTGGTGAGTTCCCTGGAACACCGGGGACACATATTCATGTAGAAAAGACGTACACAAGTGCATTTTGCATGATAGGTCCCCTTTAAAGTAGAGACACTACATACTGATATACACCTGAACATCAGCAGGAGAGGACTCTTTAAAGTAGAGACACTACATACTGATATACACCTGAACATCAGCAGGAGAGGACTCTTTAAAGTAGAGACACTACATACTGATATACACCTGCACATCAGCAGGAGAGGACTCTTTAAAGTAGAGACACTACATACTGATATACACCTGAACATCAGCAGGAGAGGACTCTTTAAAGTAGAGACACTACATACTGATATACACCTGAACATCAGCAGGAGAGGACTCTTTAAAGTAGAGACACTACATACTGATATACACCTGCACATCAGCAGGAGAGGACTCTTTAAAGTAGAGACACTACATACTGATATACACCTGAACATCAGCAGGAGAGGACTCTTTAAAGTAGAGACACTACATACTGATATACACCTGAACATCAGCAGGAGAGGACTCTTTAAAGTAGAGACACTACATACTGATATACACCTGAACATCAGCAGGAGAGGACTCTTTAAAGTAGAGACACTACATACTGATATACACCTGAACATCAGCAGGAGAGGACTCTTTAAAGTAGAGACACTACATACTGATATGAACCTGAACATCAGCAGGAGAGGACTCTTTAAAGTAGAGACACTACATACTGATATACACCTGAACATCAGCAGGAGAGGACTCTTTAAAGTAGACACTACATACTGATATACACCTGAACATCAGCAGGAGAGGACTCTTTAAAGTAGAGACACATACATCCAGGTAGGAGTCATTGGATCAACAGTCCGATATTACAGGAACCCTTTAAGCCACCTTTAAACACAGCAGAGTTCAAACACCTGGATCCATTATCGGACACAGCAGGGGGAAGAAGATCCTTTATAAGTACAAGTACAAATACTATGGTCTTAAAATACTCCATCACAAGTAGAAACCCTGATTTAGAATTGTTTATTAACATCAAAACGTACTTAAAATGTACTTTAAAGAAAAGTCCCCAGTATGCAAATGGCTCATTCACAGAATTTGATTATTATAGAATATTATATTATATTATCCTGTTTTTATTTCACATTTACAAGTATTTTAAACTTGTATTTGTCAATGCGGAGCTAATTTTACCGTAACTACTGTATGAGTGTTAAATAAAGTTAAAAAGTACAATGTGTACCTCTGAAATGTAGTGGAGTAGAAGTATGAAGTAGCATTAAATACAAAATACTCTAAATACTCAATACTTAAGTTCAGTACTTTAGTAAATCTCCACCGTTATGTTTTCCTGTCAGAGGCGGTTAATAAAAACCGTGAAACAATGTAACGTCATCAACGGCAAGTCGGCCATCTTTGAAGAATACTGCGATTACCTTCACGTGAACAGCGGAGTAACTTTAAACGTGTTAAACATGGTCGGGGGGCTCTGTGATCTTAGTGGCTGCAACACACACTCCTATGACCAACGGAGGACCACGGGATTACATTTGAAATGCCATTTTTGGTGAAGAAATGTGCAAATGACATCGTACAAAGTTCGTATAAGGAAATACAAATGGGTCATCCGTCTAAAACCGTCTCTGTTTGAGTTAATGTTCTATTCCTCTGTGTGTTTATAGTAAAGGGTTATAAAGGCTGCATGAAAAGGAACTGGACTGTGTGACACATAAATAATATCATATGGCTTCTTTAAAATTAGGAATCTTTCTGGTATATGGATATTTCTCCTAAGCATAATGGACTGTATTATTGTAATATGTAAGATGACCTTATATACAACCCATCTTTTATTTTGTATTGTATTTCGGTTATACCTGTGTTATTTACGTTCTCAGTGTTATTATTGATTTGATTTCTATACATTTAGTTTTTCCTATTCTCTGGTTGAATTTTTGGGGATTTGAGACCTTCTACATGTTGTGACCCCTTGTTAGAGAAAATGTTCAGCTAAATAGGAATACTATTGGATGTAAAGGGGAATGTGGAAAAAGCCCAAATAACAGGTAGAAATGTCAAGCAGTAACCGTGAGGTCCTGAAAGGGTTAAAGGCAGAGGAGGACAGATGTGGATGGGGAACACCTGTCCTCACGTTTACTGCCTGACATTTGAAGCTGTAATCTGGGGTTTTTACACAGTTTCACAACCGCTGTTTACTATAAACCCGTCAGGGGAATAGAACCAACGCACACCGTCAAACAGACACGGTGTGAGGCGGATGGCTGCTTTGTATTATGATGTAATTTGCACATTTATTCACAGAAATAGCATTAACACGAGTGGGTTTATAATGTAATGCCATGGTCCATTTTGGGTTGTCTGGAAACACCTGTCGGCAGGTGTATAGCCGGACATTTGAAGCTGTTATTTGGGGTTTAACCACATTATAACAATCATTTACGGCCTTTTTTTAATACAACTAACACATATTAACTCAAACAGACACGGTTTCAGGCGGATTACCGTTTGTAGTAGCCTATCATGTTATTTGCATATTGCTTCACAATAATGGCATTAACATGAGTGGGTTTAGTATCCGATTTTCTGGAGCAGCGTGACCGACGGGGTCGCGTCCGAAGCGGCTGCAAGGTGTCCGATAATGGGTGCATGCGGTTTGTATTTACCTGCAATGGGAAAGAGGCGCTCTTGTTGCCCACATACCCCCGGACTACATGGCTCTGTATGGACAGGACACGGCACTCCATGGCCGAGGAGGGGAGGCAGATCAATCCGTTACTTCAACGAGGATCCCGGCAACACATCGGAGAAACAAATCACACAACCGGTTTGGAGAAGCTAAGCTAACCGAGGCTAACCCGCTGTGTGTGTGGATGAGAGTGGTGTTTGTAACCATGGACGAGAAAAGAGAGAGAGGCGGAGCTCCGTTCATTCCTATGAGACTCGCTCACTGGTGCATGAAGACAGAATAGAGAGGCTGTGGAGTCACAAAGTACCCGGATGTGGGCCCACTGAGCATGCGCAGTTGAGTTGTTGAGTACAAATATATACGGTATACATAAAGTATACAGACATATGCTAACAATACTTGTTAGTGCAGTTACTATGCAACACTGCTGCAAAGCTATTCTCTATTCATTATTATTCATATTAAACGTGTGTCTTGGGTCACCAGAAATACACCCAAAAGTGTGAACAGTCCTCCAGATTGTACACCTTTCTCAAAGTGTACAGTTCTTGGTGCTCTTTCTAGAACATTTTGGACAAACTATCCTAATCCCCAGTATAAAGAAGTAGAAGGAACTGGTCCCACAGAGGGGAATTTGACATGCTGCACATGGACTTCACCACCATCATAAATTACTCCTATTTATTTATATATATTTGTTTTTATGCAAACAATATCTCAATTTCATTTAGGTATTGCCAGGTGTGCACAACCCTCTGAATATTTTTGCATATTTGTACACAGGCTACCTCTCTTGTACACAACTTTCCACTTCCCATAACACTCCTGCACACATTTTATTTTATTATTTTGTCATCATATACCGCACGTCGTTTTTTGTTATATCCAGACTTCATGTAAATCATTTTCTATACTTTAACGTATGATAGTTTTTTCTTTCTTTTTTTTTTCTTTACTGTATTCATCAAATACACCGAGGCAAATTCCTCCTAAACCTACTTTCTGATATGAATAAACAGAGACAAATGTAGTGACTGATTGTAAGAGCTTATTTAATGGGATATAGACTGTATTAATAAGAAATGCATTCATATATTTATATACGCAAAATACAATATAACATACTAGTCAAATTACTTTTCAAAATAAAACTAAAATGATATATTACGTAATATTTCCTTTATGGGCTATAAAAGTATTAGCGCTGTAAACAATTTTTAAATATGTATCCGCTGATTTACAGACGTCTCTTTCCACAATGTAAGTCAATGGGGAAACAATCTGTTTGGGCCAAGATGACGTCACGGAAGCTGCAGTACCACCGTTTGGCCACTATGGACATTCCAAATATGGGCTTCAACGACTGGAGCACTGTGCATGTGAGGGCTACACACACACACACACACACACACACACACACACACACACACACACACACACACACACACACACACACACACACACACACACACACACACACACACACACACACACACACACACACACACACACTGGTGGTATTCTGCACAGGCAATCTGAGTGACCGCCTAGAACCGGATGACGTCACCACATGGCCACTAAGCACATCATCACAGCTGGAATTGAATGACAGCCCCACCCCATTTATTTCCATTTGAATCTGTTATAACACTCGTTTTTTCAGATGTATTTTAGGAAACATGTATCATGAACTCGAGTGGGGCTTCTCCGTACCAGAAGAACAGAGGAAAACTCAATTTGTTTTAAATGTGAATCTTTCTGAGTGTAGTTTGGTGTCTGTGAGTCACAGCATCCTTTCAGGGAGTCGTGACTGAAGCAGGATCTCACACACATTACAGGCAGCAGCAGCACTTTTACTCAAGTACAAGATCTGAGTACTTCTACTTTTACTCAAGTACAAGATCTGAGTACTTCTACTTTTACTCAAGTACAAGATCTGAGTACTTCTACTTTGACTCAAGCACAAGATCTGAGTACTTCTACTTTTACTCAAGTACAAGACCTGAGTACTTCTACTTTTACTCAAGTACAAGATCTGAGTACTTCTACTTTTACTCAATTACAAGATATGAGTACTTCTACTTTTACTCAAGTACAAGATATGAGTACTTCTACTTTTACTCAAGTACAAGATATGAGTACTTCTACTTTTACTCAATTACAAGATCTGAGTACTTCTACTTTTACTCAATTACAAGATATGAGTACTTCTACTTTTACTCAAGTACAAGATATGAGTACTTCTACTTTTACTCAAGTACAAGATATGAGTACTTCTACTTTTACTCAAGTACAAGATCTGAGTACTTCTACTTTTACTCAATTACAAGATCTGAGTACTTCTACTTTTACTCAAGTACAAGATCTGAGTACTTCTACTTTTACTCAAGTACAAGATCTGAGTACTTCTACTTTTACTCAAGTACAAGATCTGAGTACTTCTACTTCATTCAGTGGACATGTTTAAACAACAGCTGAAGACACATCTCTTTAAATTGCCTTTTCTAGCAATATCCCATTTTAATTGGTCCTTTATTCATTATTATTATTATTATTATTATTATTATTATTTACATTGTTTTATGTATTCATTTATTTTGTAGGTTTTATAATTCTCTTGTATTCAAACTGTTTCTGAGTGCAGTGAAATGTTCCAGAGTTCAAAATGAAGTCAGAACCTCTGGAGGAATGGGATGATCAGCCATGATGTCATGTGATATATCTTCTGACATCCTGAATGTAAAACAGAAGCGACACAAAAACCAAGTTAGCTTGAGTTTTATTTGCATTCAAAAAGTTAAGAGACGTTCAAAGGTAAGCTCTGTAGTTGGACTTAAACTCTAAATAACCTGCCATTGTTGGTATGACAGTTTGTACTCAAGACGTATACCAACGTGTACTTCTGGATTTACACTTCCAAACAGACATATATATTTAACATATCCACAAATATACAGTACATTGCATATAAGTAAACACAAGTTACATTTTTAACTTCATACCTTTTGTTTTTCTTACACTTCTTTACTTTTATTAATTAACCCTAGATGCTTTTTTTGTAAAAGTTAATGTTACAATGACTGCCATGTGATTTATATGCATAAGTGTAGTACACATTATACAGAGGGCGATCACAGTATGAATACTACCATACGAGTATATGTGTAGTACACATTATACAGAGGGTGATCACAGTATGAATACTACCATACGAGTATATGGAGTACACATTATACAGAGGGTGATCACAGTATGAATACTACCATACGAGTATATGTGTAGTACACATTATACAGAGGGTGATCACAGTATGAATACTACCATACGAGTATATGGAGTACACATTATACAGAGGGTGATCACAGTATGAATACTACCATACGAGTATATGGAGTACACATTATACAGAGGGTGATCACAGTATGAATACTACCATACGAGTATATGTGTAGTACACATTATACAGAGGGTGATCACAGTATGAATACTACCATACGAGTATATGTGTAGTACACATTATACAGAGGGTGATCACAGTATGAATACTACCATACGAGTATATGGAGTACACATTATACAGAGGGGGATCACAGTCGATTGGTTTAGCTACGTGTCTGAAAATGGTCAGACTTCATATCAATAGTTCAGACTCAGGTTGGTACTAACTATCATCAGCTGTGATCCTGTACAGACTGAACTATCTGGGCAGCAGGGAGGAGGTCTCTGGAACAGGAGGAGACTCTTCCTCCTACAGAGGACACAGAGACACTGAGGAACCAGAGCTGAACCCAAACCAGAACCCAGCATAAAGAGGTTCAGTGGATGTGGTTCTGAAGGTGTGGAGGTGGATCAGTGTGTCAGAGGAGACTCTGTAGAAGGAGAGAGAGCCAGCAGGATGATCCAGATACACTGCTACTCTACGAGAGGAGGAGGAGGAGGAGGAGGAGGAGGAGGAGGAGGAGATGTGTGTTTCTCTCTTATTGTGCCTGACAGAGTAACGACCATCAGAGCAGATCAGACTCCAGGACTGATCATTCCCTCCAAACACACAGTCCTCTCTCTCTCCTCTCCTCCTGATTCCTCTGTAAGTCACTGATATAGTAACCCCTCCTTTCCACTCGACCTCCCAGTAACAGCGACCAGTCAGAGCTTCACTACACATCAGCTGACACCAGTAATCAAACCTCTCTGGATGATCAGGATATGGCTGCTCCTCCTCCACACGTGTCACCGTCCTGTTGTTGTCAGACAGTTTGAGGTTTCTGTGTGCTGTGTTTGTGTCGAGTGAGAGTTCACAGGAATCTGATGAGAGAAACAGCAGCAGTTATTAATCTATCAGCTGTTCATTTATTGACACTTTAATGATGAAGGTTACATTTGAAGATGGTGGCTGCTTTGTTTTCATGAATCAAATTAAACCACACTCACACTTCCTCAGACCGGGTCTCAACCATCGGACTCCACCAGGCTCCATCCTGAAAGAAGAGGGGGGGGGTTTATGTTGATGTTCTCCACTTTTATTTTGAAAAGTGTTCACCCCCATGTTATGTCTGTTACTTCCTGTCTTGTCTAGTTTTACTTCTTGTCTTTAGTTTCCCCCTCCAGCTGTGTCTTGTCTTGTGATTACCCTTCTGTGTATTTAGTCTTGCTTTCCCTTGTGTTCTTTGTCCGATTGTCGTCAATGTAACCCGCAGGTTCCTGTCCGTGACTTTGTTCTTGTTTCACCCGTTAATGTTTGGTAGTTTTCTTTGTTTCTAATCAGCTTTTTGGAATAAAGCTCGTTTTGGTTATTACCTGGATTCCTGCTTCCCTGTCTGTGTTCTGCATTTGGACAGGGGGGTGTTAGAGCAACGTGGAAACATGGACATTACATCACTCTCAAACAAATTATTCAAGCCCTTCATAGACTTGACACAATACTTTTTTTTTTCGCTTTATTAAATATTTTTATTTAAGAAATAAACCTAAGTATAGTTGATTAGTTTTACACAAATTACATTAATCAATTCACTTATTAAATGTATTTAGGACACATCAACTCAAAATGAATTGTTTTCATCTGGGGACCGCCCCTTTGCACATGCGCAACATCCGTTCTGTCATTTACCGCCTTTTGTCTGACACTGACTGGAAAGTCTATTCTTTGGTAAGTATTTATTTTTTCTAGTAGTTTAGAACGTACCCTGTTTCCAAGTAATGCCTTTTCATAATATCGACAAGAATATTTGAAAAACCACCGTGTTATATTTTGCTCCGTTTTTAGTTGGGTCTAAACGGCAAGCTAGCTATACCTCGCCAGATAACTGTTAGCT